GAATGAATGAATGAATGAATGAATGAATGAATGAATGAATGAATGAATGAATGAATGTTGTCATGGATAACCTGCCCGAACCTAAGTTCTGATAGCAGATTATAATCTTAAATGAATGGCTATCACCAACATTATCAGCAATGGAGTTTGGAGACTGCATTAAACCAGAACAGAAATGGATTTTGACTGTTTTGGGAGTAGACACATATGCCTATTCAATAGTGATATCTGAGATTAAGTACTGTGTAGATGCTTCAGTGCACTTTATTTTAAGCTTTGGGGATTGTCCAGGTTAAAAATAAATATACCTAAGCATTGGGCGGAGATAAATCAAATAAATAAATAAATACATTATAGAAAGTAAGGACTAATTACATTATACTATATAATTCAAATTATATAATAAGCTTGTCTGATCAATCACAAATTAAATGCTGTTATTTTCAAGTGCTCATTCAAATTACTTACCCCTTCTGTTTCAATGGTAATTCAAGTTTAAATATTGTAGCATCATTAACAACTGCTTTATATGCCTAAAATAAAAATAAGTCATTCAATTTATTCCATTCATACCAAAATACATTCTTAAAAACAAAATCGTGTAATTTTAAAACAATCACCCGTCTTTCTCAAGAACAGAGTTCTCATATCATTTGAGAAAATAGTCAAAGCACCGAAAACATCCGTAAGACTCACAATATTTTTAGGGAGGTTTGAAGGTTATTGTTGCTTCAAACTTTTGCTCATGAGAAAGGGAGAAAGGATACAGAAGGAAGGGGACAGGGTTGCAATCCTGCAGAATGCTCCTAGTAACCAAATTAGCCCATGGTGACCTTTGACCCTGCTAAACTTTAGAAACATGCTGTTTTTTCATGAAAAATATTTTATTTATGTTAATATCTAATGGATTTAGTATCATTATTTTTAAATGATTCAATAATACTCTACAAATGTGTCAATTTTAATTTTTAATATGATAAATATTGATAAATACAACCAATACAATATTGGGGTCCTTCATAATTTTTAAAAGTGGGAAGGGGTCCTGAGAGCAAACAGTTTAAGAAACACTGCTCTATGCTATACCACCAGGAGGTTACCTTACTGAAATTTATTTATTCATTCCATTTTTATCCCACTGCAAATTTGTGATTCTCATTAGTTGCAATCTCACAATAAAAGCAACAGAATTAAAACATACAATCCAACTCACAAAAACAAAACCAAAGTAGAGAGAAAAACAGTAAGAACAAGAGGTGTGCATAATGTTACTCAGAGGCTCTTCAAAACAGCTGTAATTTAATGGCTTTCTAAGAGCTACCAGGAAATTGTTCCCATTTTGTGTGTTTTGTCCTTTTAACTGTCAGTAAAGCTATGAAATCCCTCTCTCTCACACCCACCGGGCTTTGGGAATGGATGTTATCTGGAAGACAGGAACTGGCAGCGGGAACTACCAAAACACTACTGCAAAGCAGAAGGTGGGGCCAGGATGCAGAGGTTTGAAGCCTCTAGCCTTATAGCCTACAGGTTCAGAAGTTTTTCTGTACCTTGTTACCCTGCTCTGAATCTGTTTATACTTCCAGATCTTCAAGGTGAAATAGAAGAGAGAATAAAGTGAAAGTATTATTTCTGTGATCCCTGGCAAAAATGTCTCACTGGGATTCCTTGATGGTCTCTCATCCAAGTACTAACAAGGCCTGAATCTACTTAACTCCCTAGCCTGGACAAGGTTGGCTGTGTGTTGTCACCAGGAAAGCATCTTTACTTTTATTCAGTTTGCAGTTTTTAACTATTTCAAAATGTTATCCAAGTACTAACAAGGCCTGAATCTACTTAACTCCCTAGCCTGGACAAGGTTGGCTGTGTGTTGTCACCAGGAAAGCATCTTTACTTTTATTCAGTTTGTAATCTACTACTATTTCAAAATGTTTTTCGTAAGTATCGTTACCAAGTCAGGAACATTAAATTTCATTGTTATTTTCAGACCCTTTCTCTAACCCAGTGTTTCTCAACCTTGGCCACTTTCAGAAGTGTGGACTTCAATTCCCAGAATTCCCCAGCCTGGCTGGGGATCCATACTTCTGAAAGTGGCCAAGGTTGAAAAACGCTGCTCTAACCTATCAAGATGTTTAAAACGTTATTTCTGGGTTCTAAGGTGTTATGTCATAGTAGAGGTATTCCTCATTTTTCATGAAATTTGAAGTGTTACGATTTTCAAGTCTTATCTGTGATTATCTGAGAAATCTCCAGTTAGTAATGGTTTTCATGCAGATACTGATGAATCTTGTTGAAGCAAGATTACAAGTATGGCAGTAAGCAATGCAAATATACCACTAAAATCTTGCAATTATAGGTAGTCCCTGGGTTAAGATCACCTGGTTTACAGACAACCCACAGTTAGGAACAGAGCCTACTGTAGCAAAATTTGAGCTAAATACACAATGATTTGAGTTAAATACACAGTGGTTCAAGTTCATCAATACTGCTTATACAGTATTATACAATAATACTGTTCTGGCTTACATACAATTTTGACTTAAGGACAGACCTTGGGAACAGAACTTGTTCTTAAACTGGGGACTCCCTGTATCTTAATACTTAAATGTCTACAGAAAGCTAAATATCTAGTAATTTATAATATTTTATTGGTATGATGCAAATTCCATAAACATCTACAATAGCTAGACTAGTGTTTGTTTATTTAAAATTTTATGCCACTTCCCCTTTTTAAAAAAACTAACCCATTTTAAAACAAAAAATGAAACAAAAACTAGTTGGTAACTTACTTTATCTCTGGCAGTAAGAAATCTTGGGTCATCTTGAAAAGCTTCTTTAACTAACTTGCTAAATCTATTAAACAGTGTAAGCAATTGTTCTACATACTTTTCAGAATCCTAAAAAGTGAAAAGCAAAACAAAACAAAACAAAAAAACAAATCTGTGAGGAGAAAATAGCACGTAATCATAATCAACTGTTTGAACTCTCTCTCTCTCTCTCCCTCCCTCCCTCCCTCTCCCTCTCCCTCTTTTGCTAAAACTGCATTTCTGGTATAGCAGTCATGAGCCCAGAAATATTACAATAAGGTACAAATGCACTTCTTGTGGCCTAGTTTGTATCCCAGGAAATCAGTTTGTGCAAGTCAGGAAAAGGTACTGGCTGCCAACCCAATAGGGAGACTCTCCACCAGTTTTCAACCTTCTTGTTCCCTTTGACTATGATTCTGCATTGCATCTGCATGAACTGTGATCACTCTGTCAGATTCCCAGTTCAAATTGCTACCTATCCAGATTTATAACGGAACCCCCAAATGGTATCCAAAAGTCACAGGATGTTATAAGATACCACATGATAGTATTAAGAGTTTTCCTGCACTCTCTGACAGCCTGAATGTTAAGCAAAATCTGGTGGGGATAGGGAGAAGTGCAGAAGGTTTTTACTTTAACTCAATTAAATTAGCTGGGCTAGCTGTGAACATTTCTAGTTGAACTGCTCTGTCAGAATAAAGCATGATGGCAATACCTCATTTTTAAATAATTAAAAATAAGAATGCTTAGTCTTAGATATATAGAATAAATGGTCTTCGATTACTTCACCAGCTTTTTGATCTGTCTCTTTTAATCAATAGAAAAAATTCAGTAGCTGTTGCCACAAAAAATATGTTTCTTGGAGAAAAGTCCTGATTCATTATGTTCCACCTTCAACTTTCTATTTCAGCTATCTGATGTTCTTACTATTTCAACAGCTAATTCATATATACCAAATGACCAGTTTTATAAGAACAAACAGTAAAAAAGCATGAGGTTGCTCCTCCTGTTATAGATGACAACACTCTGATGTTGGTTTGAACCACTGGATGAAGCTGCCAACTAACTGGCTTCACCCTAGGAACATCAAAGCAAAGGAAAGGAGAGCAATGTAAGCCAGAACTTCTGACTGTTCATTTACATTACATCCAATCTTCACCTCAATGACTATGCTCCAATTGTTATCTTAGCTCCTCCTGCAAGCAAGGGTGCTTTCAAGCAATAGATGGTTAAAAAATCACAAAATCTTTCAAAGCAGGGAGTCTTGCTTGTTACTCTCAGAACAAGCCACAGAAATAAAATAGCCCTGCTTTCCAACATGAGGAGAAAGCCAGATTGCCTAGTTCAGTCTGGCTTCCAAGCCATGGATGACATCCTTTCTGATTTTTTTTAGCAATATTTGCTCTTAGATTGCTTGCAGGGAGAGCCAGGGAGAGTATCTGAATCAATATATACTGCTCATTTGCAAGTAAGCCAGAATTCAAAAAAAGTCTGGTTTCTTGCTTTTTCTGCTCATCCGTTGCTAGTGTTAAATGCAAAATGGAAAGCAGAGTCAGGATTTAATTTATCTATCTTTATATTTGGTGGAGGAAATCTGGCTGGTTTAGTGATAGATACTTCAAATTTCCTAAGGCCCTTTATCTATGGTAAAAGATTTAGGTAATTAATAATACCAATTAATTAAAGTTTGCAGATGACATATCACAAGATTTTACATTCTAATTTTTTAAGGAAGTTGTAGTACTTTCCTACTTAATTTAGTGGATTTTAAGGTCCATTTTCACATATTAATTTCAGCAATTTAAAATTTTATTTTGCAAAATATTCTTGGTATTTCTAGCAAATGTTCTAAGAGGAGATAAGGGATAAAAATAGAAAATGCTCACTTACAGTAGTAATAGTTTCAGCAGCTGCCACCATATCTGCTAATCCAGCATTAACAATATGCTCTTCTAAATCTTTTAACATAGGCTCTATTCCATTAGGAACTTTATCCATCAAAGAAAACATTAAATGTAATTCTGAAGACAAAACATATTGAAAAGTCACAAGTCAAATCCATAACAATAATACATCTGTCCATCTTTCTTTTCTTTACTTTATATACTACACTTATATATTGCCAAATCTAAGCAATTCAGGAGGTTTGTAAAGGTGTTCACTGTTGCCAAAAACACTATATAGAAAGTCACTAGCAATGAATTTGACTTGAAGGATAGTTTATCTTTTAAACATATTGATTTCAGACTGTCCTAACTCCCTAATGAACTTTACAAACTACTGAAGGAAATTCTAGGAAGCCTGATTTGAAATAAACAGTGGGCTTGTTCAACAATTCTGGTTCCTGTAACTCTCGGCTACTAAATTAGAGCAAGCTCTTCTCGAAACAATTTCCTCTTTTTTTTCCAGCATTGTTTCATCATTGCAATGCATATAAAGCAATACAAACCAGAATACTTGGAAACCAGCCATTATGTATATATAATAAGAAACTCCAGTTTCCAAAGGACTATTTTTATTGTCTTTTGCAATACAGGAACAAAAGAGTCTTCCAGCACTTTAATGACTCATGTATTTCTTACTCTATAAGGATTTGTAAATTACAGTCCACCTCATCTGATGCATGGAATACTGGCCTGAGAAAAGAATACAAATACACTCACACACACACAAATGGTAAATGGAAGGTGAGAAATTATAAAAGGAGTCAAAATGGTAAAAGGGGTGGTAAGAAATAGTGAGGATTACCTATAGTGATCTTTAATAGTGGTTATGAGTGATACAGACATTCTTGTATTACATGCTAAGAAACTTTAATATTTAACTAATCTCTGAGAAATGGACTGCTTAGCAGACATAACACAGTTTTTCAGGACCTAAAGAGACCAAGGTTTCTTATCACACACTATGTCTGTAAATCATCAATTCAATATAACTGAATGTGTATTCCTTTCTCAGGACTATATTCCAGGCATCTAGTGAAGCAGACTTTGATCCATAAAACCTTATGCAATAATAAAATGTTACAGAGTAAGAAGACATTTGCTGAAGATACTCTACCTAATTTCTGTAAAGAGAAATTACAGAGAGGAAGGGAATTAAAGGAAAAGAGGGAAGATTCCAAAATAGCATTCCAAAGATTGACTTCTGATTTGAAGCATGGTTAACAGGGAGTTGCCCCTGATTGGTAGTACCAATCCCACCTTGATTGATCTTGAGAAGCTAAGTAGAATTGGTTCTGGTTGATATTGGAGAGGAGGCAATATGCCAAGAAGAACACAGCAGCAAAGTACTTTTGTATTGTACCAAGAAAACTACATATGTCCTTGAAGTCACCAGGGGTTTAGTTCAGATGGTTTTAACTGGGAGTCAGCACTGTTTCTCAGGGATAGATCAGCTTAATTCTAATTCATGCCATTTTTGCAGTGTTCACAGTTAGGTCTATTTTCATCCAGTTGTTTTAAAATTCCACAACAGATTTTGTTCTCCCAAAGAAAACAACTTATATTTATGAGATCGTACATAAAATTATTATTATTAACAATATCAACAATAATTAGTATGGGAGCTGGGACAGCAACCAGAAACACAGCTGCTGGCCCATCCTAAAAAGTCCTTCACAGGGAGATGTCAAAGAGCTGGCTTTCTCAACAAATTCCTTGCTGATTGTTATTATAGTCTTTGCTGTATTTTTGCTAGGTAAGTATAAGACAAATAATTGTTCAATCATTCAGGTTAGGAAACAGAAACAGCATGCATAATTTGGGGCTGTGCAAAGAATTTTAAAGAGTGTGTCACACCTTCCCCCAACTGCTTCAAAGGCTGTCCTGGCAGTTTGTGCATTCCTGTGCATGCGCAGATCTTTGCTGGTGGAGCCAACACATGCAGACAACCAGAAACAGCCTTCAAAGCAGCTACATGAACCTTCCAAAGAATGCAGTTGCTTTAATGCTTCAAGGAGTGCTCCGTAAAGCATTAGTGCAACTGCTTTGCACAGCCCTGTTTATTATATCCAATTACCCTCACAGGAATGTTTGATGGCTTACTTTTCAAGCCAAGCTTCAGAGAGAGAGCCAACTGTGTGGGAAAAGCTGCTTTATGCACCAACTTCACTGCATAGCCCTTTATAGGACTCTGCAATGAAGCTCATCTGGTTCACCAATCTTTATTGTTGCCACTTTCCATAAAACTTCATTCCCCTTGAGAGCTGAAAGCAATATATTTGTACAAGGTATGATATCTTACTATATTCAGCCCTGGACCAATGCCAAACAACTGCTGTCAGAATAAGGAGCCAGACATATTTTTAAGGTCAGATGCCAAGCCTAGCTTACACTCTGGAAGCTAGAAGTGCACTTAGAACTAATAACAACTGTTTCAAAACAGGAACAACTTTCAATTTTCTTATTATAAATTATAAATTATATAGTATACATTATGTAATCATAGTATATATTTAAGGATTGCATCATAAACATTTGGTTTCTCTAATTCACTTCTCCCAAATTCCATAACTGGGTCACTTTCCTTTAAAAAAAGGAAAACAATATAGAGAAAACAGCTTCAAGACAAGCCCTGAACAAAAAGATGCATAGCTTAATAGGATTCCTAGGGCTTTGTAATTTGTTAAAAATTCGCTGTATATTAAAACAATACATTCTTTGTAATCCTAAAAGGCTGATTAAAATTATAGAATTGGAAGAAGCTATTTAGGCCACTGGATCTACCCTGGTGCTCAAGATAGGAAACCAATATATTAACAAAAAAGGAAAGTATATAGCAGAATAGTACAAAAGGTATAGAAGAGAATTGTATTCTGAAAAGTTACTAGATTAATTCTTGTTCAAGAACAAAACTACTCAGACAGCTGCACTACCACCGATATTGTGATATAATAGAAGATTTGGACTAGGAGCAAGTCAATTCAATCCCTATTTAATCAGTAACACCAACGAGTGACCAGAGCCAATCAATATGCCTATCTATTTTACCTACCAATTTTAAAGATCAACTGCTCTAACTCTTTAGAGGAAGGGTAGGTTATGAATGATGACAAAAATTAAAATAGCACTGTATTATAAATTAGCATATGGAACCAAGATGATGCAGGGCAGAGAGTAACTTTTAACTGGTCACACATAAAGTAATATTTTTCTTATGTCTCTTATAACAAAGGAATAGTAATCCATTCCTTTTTACTCCTACTATCTAAGGGGAGCAGGGGGGAAAACACATTAGGCTCCACTTACTTTCTGTTTCATTGCGTTTGATCATCCCTTGGCATTCAGCTAAAATTGTCTCCTTAAAAGATGTCACCAAAGCATTCACACAGCACTCCATTAGCTGGGGGGGAAAAGTTAACAGTCTAATACCTACAGAATACTGCTGTTTCAATACATTTGCATGGAATAGGGAATGTGCATGCTGCATCACAAAACAAAAGTGAATCTAACCTCCTCTCCCACCTCCCCAAGATGTATGCAATATCTAAAAAGGAGAATGGCAAGGACCGAGAAGTATTAAAACATTATTAATAACATATCTGCATAAGTAAGCAAAATAAATTGTGATTATTAAGCTTAAGTTCTTGAGAAGGTGATAACAACACAGTTTAGAAGGCAAATATTACTTCCAAAACATTTATGAACTTTGATTTTAAATAACATTCATTTATAAAACATGAACTGAACTGAGAAGTTCTTTTTTTCCATAATTCTATTACTATCCTACAAAAGGCTTATTCCAAGATGTCTAACTCAGAAAATTAGGCATCAGTGAGACTGAGTTTCAGGAGCAAACAAGGAAGGGCCACACCAAAGTCTGGGGTGCCAAATGCAGGCTGAGAGTTGCCCACCATTTGTCTACCATGTCATACAAACTACAGATTCTGATATATTCCTCTGCAAACAAGCCAAAGTCTGAAACTGTAATTTGTTCCTAGAAGAGCCAGCGAGAGTCCCTGATTAAATACACAAAGATTTGTATGCATAATTCATACAATAATATCTATTGCATAAACAGCATAAACAACATTTCTATCTGCAGCCTGTAATGTACAATTACTTTTCAAATCAGATGAAAGTAACCTTAAACACGTCACAGTTAGGATCACAATAGGACAGCAGATCAAGCAAGCTCAATAATAAATTCCTGATTTTCCGAGACTGGTAATTTCCTAATATATTTAATATTCCATCCCCTGGAGTGCACCATGCTGGGAAAGAATACTATATTCCAAAATGTACTGTCATACCAAAGTATAAAAGTCTTTAGTATACCGTGAAGTTCTTAGTGCTCTCTGAGCTTGGTTGCTTGCTTGCAGATATTTCACTGCCCAACTAGGTAACATTATCAGTGCAAGCTGATTATTATACTATTATTATACTATAATATACTAGTAGTATATTGATCTTTATTATGATGGTCACACTTTTTAATATTTCCAAATCAATTCATAGCATTGTTTTCTTAAAAGAACAAGGTTTATCTTTCAACAAAGAACCACAGATACAAATTAGCTTATGGTTATGAGACAACAGCTGTATGTTTATATTTTCAGGAACAGATGTGTCTGCTTGGAAACAGCAATAAACTCAAACTTTCCTCAAACTTCTGCAACAGAGAACAATCTTTGACCTTGCAGAATTTCTGCTTTTAATTGCTTACAACGTACTTCTACATTAATGCAATCAGATGTTCCATAACTAGACTTAAAAAAAAAAAAAGCAAGGTTGAGTATCTTCAGACTTGTATGAATAATGATTTAATTTACTAAACCTTTTAGCATATTTATTCTTAGTATTATTAAAAGAGTACTTACTGCTTCTACTGAGTTACATTCACGCCTTGTTTCTAAATACCGTAGTGCTCTTTTCTCTTCTTCCTTTAATTTAGCATCTGCCTGTGCAGAAGCAGAACACCGTCACTTAAAATATTAATATTTAACTAAGAGACTTCGTCAAAAGAACACCTTCTCACTTACATATTTCATATAGTTCTGTACACCATTTTGCTGCAAATACGAAGGGGCTTGAGTTCTATAAAATCTCTCTGTTGAATCTAGGTATGCTTTTTCAAAATTATCCCGATAAATCTGGAGTTTATCATCAGGATTGGAACACAGATTAACTGTAACAAGAAATATCAAATTAAAGTATTTGCTTCTTATCACTGTAAAAAATATACTTAATCCTCTTAAGACAATGACAACAGGAGTTGTATAAACTACAATAATTTGAATATAAAATTATTAATGTCTCTCAAGCAATTTGGGGAGTAATAAAACATATTCTGGAGAGGCTGTTTTCGATTTTTTAAAGTCAGAAGGTAAGTTAAATGTTTTTGGATTGACTACATTACATTCATAGCTACCATCTTAATTTCATTCACATTCCCAGACCACGTGAGTTGGGGTTTTGATTTTTTTACATCCATTTTGTGGCTTTTGCCTATGCAAAAAACAATGTGATAATTTTTTTAAAAATTCCACTGAAGTGTTTGATGCAATCCCTTATTTACCAGATGAGAAAAGGCAAACTTGAAGCATGAGAAAAAGCCTGCGGTTTATTGATCACTTAAACTTCACATGGAGATTTAAAGTCTTAAGTTTGCATGGCAGTATAAGAAAAAAAACTTTACTGAACTTTTTACTGCAATGGCTAAAATCATGGTTTTTTTGAAGAAATGTATTACTGTTAAACACTTTTAAAAAACTGCATCACCTGCTAAATTAAAGATGTTATTTGCCTGTTAAGTATATTTGCCAGTAATTTTTTTACTAGTATAAGCCTACTTAGAAGAATGCTAGAATGATTTTTATATAAAAGGTAGGCTTTAATGATGTCTTACATAACAAGACATACCGTAAGATTCTCTAACACCAATGACAAGTTGAGAGTCAAATGCTTCTCCTAAACGTTCAGCATGGACCAACTTCATTGCACTGTCTTGAAGGCGAGTTTTTATGTTTGAAAATATGGACTCATTCCAAGTATCTAGCATGAGCTAAAAATACAATAATAATTAAACAGTAAACACGATGGACCAATTTCTAAAATACAAAACATAATTTTATTTTATTTTTAGATTTAAGGGGTCTGGCAATTGCCAGATTTAAAATAAACTTGATTTTCTCTCAACCAGTAACAAATATCGACATCAGCACATTACAATAATGATTATCTTGATGATTAAAATAGTGTGGCGGTAAAGATGATGTATTTTAAGGAAATCAGCATAAAACTTACATAAAGACCTTTCTCCCAAAGGTTTTTCCTTATCCTTTATGATTCATTAGAATATATTTTTATCAGTCACCAACTTGAATTATGAAATGCACATGCAAATAAGCACACAAAATAAACAATCAATGCTACCTGTATGTTGAACTAATAACTATGTTTGACAATGGAAAGGAAAGTAGAATGGTAATCACCTGTGACCACACTTTAAAATAAGATGGCAGTATCACTAGAGGGAGAAAAAGAAATCATAGCCATCTTGATTCTTCAGAAATCAAACACTACAGCTGAATAATACTATTACTGGAATCAATCAAAATGGCAGAAAACAATATGCATTCAAGTTCTGTATAAGTCTTCCTCAGAAGATGTTAGAAAAAGCAGGGAAGGGAAAGAGAGAAAATGATTTTTTTTTAAAAAAAGCCATGGGTATGAGGTCGACAATTGAATGACAATCAAAGATTGATCCTTCATTTATAAGCAGAGCGCACAATTGGTATTTAGTTACCCTTGGGATGCAGACTCTACTTGAAATTACTCAGCTCGTCGGGGGGGGGGGGGAAGGGGCTGTGAGTCTGCAATTTGCCTTTGCCATAGACAAAACTTAAAAGCAGTAAAAAAAAAAGTCACCGTTTTTATGTCAGCTAACTGCAGCAACCTCAGGGCTGTTACATCTGGCTTAACTTTTTGGACTTCCTTACTTTCTCCATCTCCTACTTTTTATTTTTACTTCTTTTTTAAACTTTTTTCTGCATGAGGAAGAATTCTGGATGAATCAAAGCCTGCATATTCTTTAATCCAATCTGATTGGTTCCCCAAAAGATATTGTCCTACTGTCTAGGGGTACAGCATTTCATTCACCTGCTTCACCATGAAATAGGGCTACAATGAAGCACGGCACTTACCTTCCGTACAATACTGTCTTCTACATTCGATTTTTTATTGCTGCCTTGTTTACCCATAAGAGTAATCTCTAACTGACAAAATGGCTTGGGTAAGATATCACATTGTGTGAAGAATTTACGCCATTCTACAATATAGGCTTTCAGTAATGCAGTATCATCTTGGTGGCTCAGCACTCTCTGAAAGCAAGATGAGGGCAAATAGGAATACATTTACAAAGAATTTCCACTTCATGAACAAACAGACATTATGCTCTTACTCATTCATTTTGGATACCCTGGTTTAGCTTCTTTGTGTGTATGTGTGTGTGTGTAAATCAACATAATGACATATTTTTAGAAAATGTGCCTAAAATTAAAGTCACATCTGCTAAAGAAAAATACTAAGAGGAGGAAAGAGAGGTACAAGATGCCAGCTTCCTAATGCTGATCACAGAATCATGATTAAGATTCTGATACTCAGTCTATAAACTCACAAAAATTATGCCTGAGTCTTAGAAGTTATCAAGCCACTGAAGCAATAATCTGAAATTATTCAAAACAGTGAGTCATGTATTCTGTGGCACAATGCTGGGCATGCTTACTTGGAAGTATGTTCTCAGAATTTTTTGATGTTTACTTGTACTTATCCCCATGTGTATCTGCATAGGAAATTATAGTTTTAACCATTCAAAATGTATGTATTTTATAATATGATGTTCTGATAGACTGTTTTCTAAACAGGAAACATAAATGAACTGAGAATCATGAGAGATTAAGCCACAGACCTGAATATATGTATCAAAATTTGATAGTGAGCTGCTGAATATAAATGCAACAGAAACAATATAAAAAGTGGCCTTCTGGGACATTTGAGTTTTAAAATGAGATTTCATTGACACAGAGGCATTATCAAGAGTTGTACACTTGAGCAGAAAAATACAGGCACACAACTTCCTATGCAAAACACACACATAATCCAATCTGAATGTTTAGCTCAGAGGTTAGTCTTAATTGTGTTTTGAGGGTTAGACTCAAGCAAACAAGTACAGGATGGTAGCAATATAATATGCTTGATACTGCTCTATATGAAATATATAGGGAAACTGATTTAAATATACATGTATAGACCAAACTATCCATATTTAACTTCTGTTATTTTCATGGAGCCCAAATTAATCAAGACAAACATTTAGACTGATTTTACAGTGACTAACTTGGTTTAGGTCCAAGCTACAGTTTAGATGTTACAATACTGAGTATTTTTCATGCATAATACAAAGTGTCCTATCAACGGGTATCTGAGTGAGGTGATTCATCACTTTTGTTTCAGTTCTTAAACCAAAGATGCATGTAGTTTCTGAAATCTAACAAAAATTATTTACACTTTAAAATATTGTTAAAAAAATACTATTTTAAACTTACCGCTTGTGCTTGCTTAATAAAATCAAGAATATCTTCTTTCAAAGCCTGGTGTATTTTTGCTGGGCCTTTATCATCCCACAAACAAACTCCATGGACATCTCTAGAAAATATGCACATTCAAATCAAGTTAAAATAACTTCTGAACTTATTTTATTTATGGGTTGTTTAATAAATTGCTTACTTGTGTGCTTCAAAAATGTACAGAATCCAAAAAAACTAAATGAAATATCAACAATACTATGCTGATCATAATTGGGGGGGTGGGGGGAAGAGGAAAACAATATTATCCTCTCCAAATTTTATACACATATTAGCACAAATAAATATGTAAATTCACTATTAATGCTTGAAATGGTCAATTAATTAAATAAATAATCAGATTCTAATATTTTTCATTTGTGGATAAAAATATGAGCAGCCTAAACCAAAGTTCTTATGACAATTGATGGTATAAGCTGAGATACAAAAGTTAATATCCTATACCTTAATTGGCTGTCTTTTTTCCTAGATCATCCCTTCTAGCATATGTTGCTCATCTTAAGTGCTTTGATGGTAAATATAAAACAGACCAGGTCCTCAAGAGCCCCTAACAGTCAGCACAGAAGTATTTAAAACAAATTCCTGTGAGAAATCCAATGCAGTGTCTTTCTTTGAACAACTGCTCTGATAAGACACTTCATTACAAAAAACAAATGTCTTTCCATTCCAAGAAATAGAAATTTCAGAAATTACTTACGAAAATAGATCAAACCATTGTTGTTTAGTAACAGATTCCTGGCGTAAAAGCTTCAAAACAATTGGGCGCATGAAATCCCATTTGTCTTCAAACTGAAGTGATCCTTTATTCTTTCAAAAAAAAACAGAGAGACTTCAGTTGAATGGAAGTGAATATTATACCTCAGCCATAGACATTTATTCAGAAGCTTTCCCGGTGGGACTTATTTCCAAACAAGCATGTATAGGTTTGAAGCTCGAACAAAACTGACGTTAGACAGCCTGGTTTTAAATAATTTATAGCAGATTATCATGTGAAATCCCATGATTACACAATGCTATTTCCATTCCTTACAGAAACATGTATGAAACACACATGAATAATACACAGCTTCAGATTTCAAATATGATAAATGTGCTACTGTTTAAAGATACCATATGAGAAAATTAGTTCCCATTTCTTCTGAGTGAATAGCTCATGATTCACTACTTAAATAATGATCCAAAATTGGATTATACAGGGGACATACAATTAAATCACAATAAAAAACTGATAGAAGAAACAAAATTGCACCATCTAATAGACTTAAAATACCATTGTAATCTTCATGACTAGATAATAATCTACACTACAAAGTACAGCACTAGGAATCTACCATTCTTTATGTGTATCCAACATACATATCAGCAATGCTTTGCAATCAATGATTCTGGATCGATATAAGCACAGAGAGACCCAATGCTGCATTGCTCTCAGTTTGGTCTATTCTTCTGGAAAACTGCTGTCTGAATATTAAATATATGGTGGAAAGGAAAATATATTTTTATACAGGTGATAGTTATGGCATGTGTGTACCGATACCAGTCCAAATATTCCAATGCTCTTGCTTTGAAAGACAATATGAAAACTGAAGCAGAGAAACAATAAACCACCTTTATTTTAATACAGTTAATGGCAAAAAGAAAGCCAACATTAATCCAAAAAGCCTGATATAGTAAAAACTAAGGTAGTCTGAAGGATTTGGTAAACACAGACTTCAGATGAAGGCTAGAAAGAAAACTACCGATGAGAGAACAAAACAAAAGTAGCTATTTGCACCAATCCAGACACTCGAAGACTAGACAGAAAAGACTAATAATTGCCACAAGATGCTGCCATTCTATTGAAATTTTGGATTCAAAAACAATGGATAATCATACAAAAAATTAGACAGCAATATGAAATATTACTATCATTTCACTACGGACCTGCCTCTGAAAAATATGGAACATTTCTAACCATTTGCTCCTATCATGCTTTTCTTTACAGCTTCGTGGTTTAATTTTGTTAAAAAAAACTTCAGTTTAAGAAGAGAGTCAAGAAAAATTCATACTTCAAGAACACAGAAATTAAGCTGTTCAGAGATAATAATGATAACAGTTATACTTACTATGTTTATTTATAACTTTGCTTCTATATAACGATTCTTCCCCTTGGCCTTTTACCTCCGATTCTCTCCCACAAATACTACTTCAAAAGCAGCATGTGATCATACCAAGAACGCTCCCTCTCTATAACCTATTAGCATCATGATATAACTCCTCAGTGTGGCAGGCAGGCTCCACCAGGAACATTCAAATTAAGCACTGCACACATATTGTATGAATTGCTCTTAACTATCTAAGACCCTCAAATTAGAGTATCTTCATGAAATCAATTAATTTTACAAAACTAGAAGAACATTTCTTCAATATTTTTGACTGGGGTTATAATGAGAGAATGTTTTATTGCCTAACCCCTTTACCTATGCAGAGATTTACACAAAGCCATTATAAACTATTCAGTAAACTACAGTTAAGCAAGCCATGACTTAATTCTTTGTGTAAATGCAGGCATTTGTTTCATTGTACACTAACAAAAAGAAAGCCAATAGCCAGTTTTCTAACTTAGTAGGCAAGATTTCCACTATTTTCTTTCTGAAGTATTTTTATAGACTGGTGCGACATGATTCAGAATGCCTTTCTTTCCTCCCCTGATCTCAGTATTTTTCTGATACCTGGCTCAGAATAAAAGCTCATTGCTGAACTTGAAATATTTTGTAAGAAAAGAGACACTAGCAAGTAAGGCACGTGACTGGTAATTAAATATCAATTTCTGAAATGAACATAATCAGTCATACACTGTCACAAAGTTAAGAAGAAATACTACCATATTTTGAGTACTGCCTGGAGACAATATACTGAGACTACTATATAGCTAAATTAATGTCATGGAGGATTTTATAAATGTTATGCTGTTTCCCTTATATATCCATGTTGTGCTGTCATTATCCCCGAGAACCATGTATTCTAAACATTGGTTCAACATTTCACACTAATTATATGCTTTAATACAGTTTTACTGAGTAATCACAATTGTATGAGCTTGTATAACATACTTAAATTATAAACCAAAGTCTACTAACTAAAATAACTGAGTTCACATAAGACATTAAACAGGTTTCATAATGCCTTAGCACACTGGGCAAACTTGGCAATTGAAAGTTGTTTGACTACTGTATTTCTATTGCAAGAAGATAAGAAGAGGTGCTATAGTCAAGGAATTCGTATCAACCCAATTTAGAAATGTATTTCTGCTTGCTTTCTTCTCACCTTCAAACCTTGGCAGTTAGGAAATTTGGATGGTAGGAGGAGTGGAACACCCATTTAATTTGCAGGAGCACCTGGACCCATGAAATAAAGCAAAGAAACAAAGGGCTCCAGGTAACACAATGTGGCAGCTACAAAGAAACTGGGACAAGTAATATTCCAGTAGCATCACCAGTATGAAGCTGCATAAAAGAAAAAGAAGTCTCACAGCATCTCCCTGTTGATCTCACTAAGGACAATCTTATTCTCAAATAAGTATTTATAAAAATTCAGCCAATGCATGTTAGCCATAAGAGTATCAAGTATAATTTTTTAATTTACACTTTGGAACTTCAACCAAACCCAGTGATAACCCTATGATGATTTCATATATATTCCTCTGCTTCCCTCACCAGAAAGAAGGGTATGAAAGATAATTGGTGGAGAAAAGAAGTTAAAGTGTAGGGGGAGGAGACTAAAGGAGGAAGAGAAGGATAGAACTGGGGACACATCGTTCAGCAGGGATTAGAGTTCCATCTTCAACAAGCCTGAGGAGGAAGGGATTGCCGATTTGCAGCTGTGTGGTGAACTCAACATTCCTTGCAGAAAGAAGACACAATTAGTACCAGCAGCCAACTTTTTAATTAATCACAGTAGAGAAACTAATTGTTTTGATCCAACAGATCAGGCTGTTCATTACAGAAACAAAATAAAAGCCTTGCAAAAAGGCAGTATTAAAAAAAATGTAAAAATGAATAAATATTGACTCAGGGAGGTGGGATTAATAAATGTCTTATAGCAAAACACTGATCAAAATTTATCTTTGATCTACTTCTTAGTGGACAGAATGGGAAACCATTCCAATATCTGGGCACTATATAACAGCAGCAAATATTTATCTAGACTTTGTTATATACAGCTAACAAAATTTATAAACTCAGATAATTCAACATGATTATCTCTAAAAGCTACTTTTAAAAACTATACAGGCCATTTTGAAACACAAGGCATGAAGTTTAATCTATAAAATTAATATGTTAGAGAGATCTGCGCACCTAAAACTGTCCTGAGCACCTAAAACAGGTCTCCTGCAAATTGCATCACATTAAGCCATAGCATGATTTCTTTAACTTTGTCAAATGTCATGTCATGGTTTGTTCCAGAAACCATGGTTAAGTAAGCCATGGCCCAGCATGATGTGTGAATCTTTGTTCATGTTGCTTTCATTCTTATGCTTCTGTCTTTATAGGCAGTCTAGGACTCTCCTACCACATGGTTGTATGCAGAGAATGGTATTAATTTTATTTTATTTACATTTCAGTAGTTTTATTAAGATAGCCAGGACCAAGACACTCAGAAACCTAGAAGAAGCAACTATGGACTGTGTTCTATTTACCAGATAATCTGGAATATTATCAAGATAAATTCTCAAGATCCATTTGGTTCTCCACCCACCAGAATAAAAACCAGAATCGTGCAATATTTTCACAGATGGCCAAGCTGTATAAGACTGGCATCTCCAAGTACATGCATTTGATTCATAAACCCTAGGAATTCTGAGAAACTAGTACATTTCATGAAGATCCTTCATGCATCAGATTAGCTTTACCAAAATATGAACAGGACAGTAATATAACAGCTATATGAATGTATGCTGTTTCTTTACAAATAAAATTGTGAACAAGGCTCAGCACACCTTGAATGAAAAATATCAATAGAATGTTCAGGTGGCTAAAGTTCTTCAGTAGACAGATTAGTCTCATATACAATTAGATATCCATATGGTCTAAAAATAAAAAGAAATTTTTGTACGGATACTTTTTAACATTTTAGTTTAGTATTATCATATACTATTTATTACTACTTTTTACCTACTTCTGAGATAATGCTCATTTTCGAAATAAATCTCATAATTCACTTAACAATTAAAAATAACAATTTCCACCCACCCAGCATTTATATAAGTTTCATTTTAAGGTTGGAAATGCTGCTAGTTCATAATTTTAAAACAGAGAGTACTTCCCTGCAGCCACCATTTCATACAACATATCAGTTATACATAGTTAAAATATTAACATTGTAAAAATAGCATATAAATCTTATTTTATTTAGAAAAGGTATACCCCACCATAATCTGAAGACTCTTGGTGGCTTACAGAGGATACAAGATAACAAAACATCAACATCATAAAGCCCCCAACAAAGACAGACTAGCAAACAAAAACAGAAAATATAAAATAGAGAATAAAAGGTAGAGAGATGCTTGTTAAGAGAAGTAATTGTTTTCAGCCTTTTCCTGAAAACCAGCAGGGAAGGGAAGAGTCTGATCTCCATAGAAGGCCATTCCAGAGCAGCAATACTGCCACAGAAAGGCACCACCTTCTAACTTTGGGAACCCTCATCTCCCAGAAGTGTGGGTTACAAGCAGCTTCTTCCTCGAAGACCTAGTGGATCACATCAATTCTTACTGAAGCAGGAGATCCTCCAAGTAGCCAGGTACCAACCCATGAAGGGTGTTATAGTAACACAGCACCTTAAACTGTACCTGGAAACCAACTGGCAGCCAGTGTATGATTAGTGTTATGTGCTCCCAATGCCTGGAGCCAAGTACACAGGCCGCTGCATTCTGGACCAGTTGCAGTTTGAGTCATCTTTAAGGGGAGCCCCACATAAAACACACTTCAATAGTCCAACTGGATGGTAATGAGGGCATGAGTTACCGTAGGATGGTCCTCCTGCACTAGGTAGGGGTGCAAATGGTTCCCTAGCCAAAGCTGGGCAAAGGCCCCTCTAGCCACAGCTTCCACCTGCTGTTCAGAGAGGAAACTGAGTCCTGAAGGACCCACTAATCACCAAGCTCCTTCACAAGTAAAGGTAACATTGGCACTGACAAGAGAATCCTGATGTAGAAACAGCAACTTCATCTTACTTGAGTTCAACTTCAGCCTGTTTTCTCCCATCCAGATCTATAGCCTCCAGGCACCAGGACAGGACATCAACAGCATCTCCCTTACAGCTCAGAGTGGCGATGTAAAGTTGGGTATCAACAGCATAATGATGATATCATACTCCAAACCATCAGATGACCTCCCCCAGCAGCTTCATATACAATATAAATTAATGGAGATAGTGAAAACCTAAATTGTCAGCTGCATGAGAAAAGAGTACAGTGATTATCTGCGACATTCCTGAGCATCTAAAATTGTCACATGATTTACATTAAAATCCTAGGTACAGTAATTGTCTTCCTTTAGTGAAATCTTAGGAATATCTTTGTGTTATTAATTCAAATATATCCAAAAAAAAGTTGACCCTGCACCTGTGGGAAAAATGTTAGGAAGAAAAAATTAATTCAACTATATATCAGTGAACTTTCACAAGCCCTTGCTCTAGCTCTAAAATTTAATATTATATTACACTCATCAATTTATAGCAAGGCTGGGCAATCTTTTCTGCAGGCTGGGCCATAAACTAGCCCACCAAATTTTAACCTAGGTATTGTGTGAATTGCTAAGAGAATTCAAGTGCAGATAAACCTGAGCTAGATAAAGCAATTGTTTGACATAGCATAACATAGTTTTCTCTGTTAACAGTTATTTTAAAACATTTAGTTCGTATCCATTTTTATTCTGCACATATATAAATGATTACATGTGCCTACTTTTATAAAATATATTGTTCAATGTTTTATGAGCAAGAAAGGCCTGATTAATGAAAGTAGATTAGTGACAAATCATTGAACACAACATACAAATACAGTAAATTAAATGAAGATTTTTACAATCGTATCAGAGACAGGAAACATTTCAACTGTGCTTCCAATTTTGAAGATCAACATTAAATTTAAGACACCAGCCACACTCAAGATAAGGAAAAAAAAAAACTGCACGGCAAATCTCTGTAGCTTTACCCTCAATGAACATATTTCTAAGTTCTGAAACATGTATTCACATACAAATATACCCTCTTTTCTTACCACCTATGATATTAGTTTCACTATACTTTTATTCTATGGTTACCTAATAGGAAGCATGTAAATATTTAATATTTGAAACATAAGAGCACATCATAGTTGATTGTTTCATCACCCTTTTCAGGGCAGGAAAATATGGAAGCAAATGGCTTTGGTTTTTTTGTAAAGTGATAAGACAAAGTTTATTTTCAAGCAGCCTGCAGTTAAATATAACCAAGCAGAAGAAAATCTGATCCATGAGATACCAGCAGAAGCCCCTCAGAACATATTATCCAAGCCATTATCATTCATGTTTGCATTCACACAACACAAACCACCACGGTTAACATAACCATACTTTTTTTTCCTTAACACTTTGGGCCAGTCTCTCTCTCTCAGCTCAACCCACCACACAGGGTTGTTGTGGTGGTGAAAATAGGAGGAGGAAGGAGTATTAGGTATGTTCTCAGCCTTGAGTTGAGCCATTTTTTTAAAAAAAAAGTAGGATAAAAATCTAATAATAATAACAACACTCTCATCCATAAACTATGACTACGTGAGCTGAGTGTACACAACACACTAAGTGAAATCCTGGCCGGCTAACTTGTGTCTCAAGCTGTTGTGCAAACCCAGCCAGCCTAGCTGGCTTATAATGGTGTCAACTCAGCCGAGTCCATTCAGGAAACCTCGGGTTAGCGCGTTCCGTGAACCCAGCCCCTCACTCCCTTTCTCACCTACACGGGTTAGATCTCTGCGGCAGTCCCTCTCGTTCGGCCGTGGTCGGCCAAAAAGAGGTGGGTGTTTTGCCGCCCAAGGCTGAGGGTGTTGTGTGGAATCAGCCAGAGCGTGAATTCAGGACCGCGGAAGCCAACGCGCAGGGCGAACACGGACACCAACCCCACGTCCTTCCAGCCCCACTTATTACCACTCTAACTCCGTTCCTCCTCCATTTCCTGCCGGCCCTCCCTTCCCTCCGAACTCCCCCAGCCCCGCAGCTGGAGCTGGTAGCCGGACAGGCCAAGCTCGGCGAGGGGGTGCCCGCCTGCCTCCCTCTCACCTTTAGGAGATTAGACGCCGCCATGTTCTCCCCCGAACCCACGCGCACTCCGGAGCACGGCGGGGCCTT